AAAATATTTAAAAATGCAACCAAACATTATTTATTATATTAAAAAGTAATACTTAATATTTTTCATCGAATATTATTAAATTCAAAACCCAATAAATAGAGTAATGATAATGCTAATATGACAAAAAAACAAGAGAACTACACACAATGCAACCGTAATAATACGACAAAATTATTAAAATAAAATGATAATACACAAATGTCGAGTGGCCAATGGGAAATGTTAAATTATGAGTGTAATTAGACGTGGCCACGTGCCGGGTCTGGGCTCGGCCCGGCCCAGCCCGCCGGGCCACGGGCCCTCAAACAGTTGAACCGCGACCGGCCTGAACCGCCGGTTCATCGGCCCGGCGGTTCACGGGCCGGTACGACCCCTAAAAAAAGCAAAAAAATTGGCACGACCTGGCCCGGCATGCCGGGACAAAAAAAAACCGTGACCCTTAATCGGACTGGATTGGTCGCGGTCCAGTTCTCGAACCCGGCACTATTCATGCCGGTACCGGTACCGGGCCGGATGGTCTGGTACCGGGTCAGGAGTCGGGCCACGGGTCGGGCCGCCCGTGGCCATGTCTAAGTGTAATTAATTGCTAGCCATTGGACTGCATATATGTTAAAAGTGAAGTGCCGAGAAACATCCTCGCAAAGTGATAATAGTAATAGAGTTGAGCCTCCCACACCAAAGTATATACACCAAATTGTTACCAAACATATTTATTAACGCGATGAATATGTTGATTTTGTACAAAATGTATATGTTGATTTTGGTTGCTTTCACAGATGAACATGTTTATTAACGCGATGAATATATTGATTTTGTACAATATATATATGTTGATTTTGGACGTAATATATTTCTTAACATGATAAATATGTTTTTCTGTAAAATGAACATGTCAATTTATAAGATGAACATATTATGTTATCAGCTGAATATATTAAATTATAAGATGAAAATTTAAAATTTCATAATAAATAGTGAGAATTAAAAAAAAAAAAAATTATCATAAAATAAACGCGTGTACTTAAAATAGCAAAAATTTTCGGATTCAACATTTATTGGCCCGCGCGTGCATTTTTGCCCACACCTTCACGCAGTGTGGGGTGCTCACCCCAAGTAAAATTTGCCGTTCTGCAGATCGTGTCCACCAATCTCTCTCTCTCTCTCCCTCTCTCTCTCTTTTTCCCAAAACGGCAGAAGCTCTCTCTCTCTCTTGAATTACAAAACCTACAAAGTTTTGACCTTTAATGGCGGTGCCCAACTTTTAATATCTCGTAACTGCTAACAAGGAAATATTGTAGAAAAAAAGTGTCGACGTAATCGTCGGGAGTATGTGGAGGAATTGGGGTGTGAATCTGTTGAAACGGGCCTCCAAACGGGCTGTCCGACCAGATTGGCCCAGACCCACGTCCCGATCGGCCCCCCACTGCGCCGGGCCCCTGGCGCCATCGTTCCGCCACTACTGCAGCAGCTCCGCCGAGGGCGGCCGCCGGGACGATGGAAAAAATGTGATGACGTACGCCGAGGCAAAGAAGCTGATGAGGCTGGTGGATGTGGAGGCGCTTAAGGAGAGGCTGGGCAAGGAGGGTAAGGAGGCGATCTCCTACGCCGAGCTCCTGAGGGCCTGCGAGGGCATCGGCGTGGCTAAGTCGCCAGAGGAGGCGGCTGCCTTCGCTCGAGTCCTTGATCAGGCCGGCGTCGTTTTGCTATTCAGGGACAAAGTGTATCTCCATCCGGATAAGGTTTGCGTTTCTCTGAATTTTCTGGGTTTCTAATTTGTCTGTATTTTTTCATTTTTTGGTTGATGGATAATGGAATTTATGGGAGGTCGTCTGTGGTGTGGTTGGGCTGTATTTTGTTACTGAATTATGATTATCATGTGGGGGTATTTTCTTTTTCTCCTTTTGATTTGGGTGATTTTGATTGTCAATCACAACAGAGTGTTCAACATATAGAGATTTAGGACAACTTGTTATATAGATCTTGTTGGGACTTGGGAGTAAGGACAGAGGGCCTATGGTCATTTTGAGCTGTTTGATTTGTGGGATCAAAGAGTTATCCGAAAAAGGTCTGAGGATGTTGTGAGAGAGAGAGAGAGAGAGACTGAATTGCAGAGAGAAAGAGAGAAGATGTGGAAAGATTTGAAAGAATATATTTCAGAGGAATATGTAATATGCCTTCTGATTTCGACCATGTGAATGGCATCCGTCTACTCATTTTATCATTATATTTTCTTCCCATTCGGCTCCTTGAGGAAGTAGAAATTTTTCATTTTGAACACCACCAACTATTTTCAATCCATATGTTCCTGATTGATGGGGCTAAACATTACTTCCTCCCATGCCTACCGTAAGTAGTTTAGAGCTTGGATACACTTATCCAATTTTCAGGGTTTGATTACATTACATTGTAAGCTATAGGTGATATTACTTACCATGACCCTGCTTACTTATTCCTACTGTCTCGAGGTGACATTAAAAGTTTAAAATGCATACCTCATTTCTGACCAGATTGAATTCCAAGGTTTCACTAAAGTACTATCAATATTACTGCTCCTCAAACAAGATTTTTTAGTGATGCTTCTGCCTGGTATACTGGATTTGTTAGATGTTTACGGTTGACATTTCATTTGAATTGAGGTTAATTGGGTTCTGGTTTATGGTCTGATTTCAATGATTTTCTGATTAAATTATGCTCGACTTGTATAACTATATTCATGTCTGGGAATCTTGTGATCCTTGTTATGTTATGTTTATAGAGTTGAGTTTAATTGGGTTTATGATTTGGTGCTGGACACTGCATTGTTGCTCTGATGGTTGTGCTCTGGCAAAATACATCTCGAAGATGGGAAAATTGGGCGTTATTTCCATGCTAATCATCACTCTATTCTATATGAACTTTATATTTAAAAAACAATCTTTTAGATAATATCTTCAGGTATTAGTATTGTTTATGATGCATTTGTTAATTTGCTATCATATTCATGGTAATGGTGAATGGTGTGTAACTGTTATTGACTAAAAGTTCAGTGTTCACATGATATCTTCATTTCGATATACATGTATATTTGATCTATAGACATTTATGCCCTCGAGATTTGTGGTATTTACAAAAAGCACCCTTGAGGTTTTAGTTCTACGAATATAAAAAATCCCCACTTTGCATCTTGCTATTTGTAAAGTGAACTCGAAAAAGTAAAGCAATTTGAAGGTAAAAACGCGAGAAAATTTGGGAGTATTTGTAATGTTTAGAAGAAGTCGAGGGAGGGAACTATAAATAAAAACCTTTGAATATGTACCAATTTTCTTAGCTCCACTAACACCGCATATGCAAATTGCCCATTCTCAGAGTTGATTGTGATTTATGATTGAAAAAATGCATCTTTCTCAACAGTCTTTTCTACGATCCTTTTATGCAGGTGGTCGATTTGGTTAGACGAGCAGTTCCCCTTTCACTTTTACCCGAAGATGACCCGTGCAAAAACGAGCTCAAGAAGCTTCAGGAGAAAAAGGATGAAATCGACATGCTGGCCCACAAGCAGGTTCGCCGCATACTTTGGACTGGGCTGGGCGTCGCTGTCGTGCAGGTCGGGCTTTTCTTCCGTTTGACTTTCTGGGAATTCTCTTGGGATGTAATGGAGCCAATTGCATTTTTCACTACCACTAGTGGAATTGTTTTGGGCTATGCCTATTTCTTGATCACCTCAAGGGACCCGACCTATCAAGACTTGCTCAAGAGGCTCTTCCTCTCGAGGCAGAGGAAGCTCATCAAGAAATACAATTTCGATATCCAGAGATTTGTGGAGTTGCAGAGAACGAACAAATTGCACCATGAATCGTGTGCGAATATAAAGAGGCGAACGGGGGTAGAATTGGACCCGGAGGACCTTTTGCACGGTCATTGATTTTCCAACTATTATTTCGAAAATCGAACCGAAAGTTTCCCTTTTCTTTCGTTTGAGGGAGTTCATATATGACTAAAGTTAACTAAGTACTTTGTTATTTTCGCTCCAGACGAGAAAAAAACTTGACAAGGATTACATCGATGACAAAGGAAATTTTGATGAAATGCTTCTAACTATTTGCTGTGATGTATGATTATTGTAATTGGATATGTAATTTGGGTAATGTTTTCTAAGGGGAGAAAAACTAATGATCACCCTCAGAAAAATGGTTTAGCTTGTATGACTGATTGTCAGAAAGCAAACAGTTCATAGTTTGGGGTGTTAGTTTTATTTTTCCCCATTATTATAATTTTACTCCATTGATATTTGGTTTTGCCTTTATAAATTGCTTATTATTGTGTATAGTAGTAACATTAACAATGTAAGGACCTTTAAAAAATTCATTACATGCCTTAAGGGGTTTGTCCCCATTGGCAATTTTTGTATTCTTATTTCTAATAATCCTAAGCTCAAAAGAAATGGAAGAACTTTGTGTGGGGACTTATATGGAGCTCTCAGCCTACATGCTGGCACCTGTCCTCCACCTCTCGAATCGCGACAAGTGTACTACTTCGTATATTTCCTACCTGTACGAATTTTTCCTTAAAAAAATGTTAAAAAAAAGTCTACACATCAGCATTGTGCTTCGACCCGTCTTTCCCAACCTCCGGTCCGCTCACCAAATGTGGCTTCACAGAGCCACCCAACGGATGTTGGGCACGGACATGATGGGCCCCAGCAGCCCACAAGAGGACCAACACAACCATCACAGCCGACAGAAAGGCAAGCGAGGCCCACGCCATGCGGGCATACCTCCTTAACCGGCTGCAGTGACTCCCAAGAATCTCAGCAAAGGCGGCCCGAACTGTTCCACACTCGACCAGGCTCTCCATGCCCGGGTACACGTCCAGCAGTCTCTGTACAGATGTCGTGTAGGCCTCGACCCGATTAAAATCGCCAGCTGGAACAACAATTCCACCGTTGCAAGTGCCACCATTCGTGTCGGGACACGTCAGCAGTCTCAACACCTATTCAAAAAATCGCGACACGTCAGCAGTCTCGATAGTTCAGGAAAAAAACATCTTTTTTTTTTCGCGAAAGTTTTTTGTTATTGTTATCCTTACTCGGGGAATATCGCCTATTCGGATCGACTCGGCTGGACAATTCGAAGGCTGGTATTCGTACATTGGAGGTGGAGAAAACGGGTTGCATATCTGAACAATATTGCCGTATGATGTGGATATATTGTTGTTCACCTGCAAATGTTGTAGTTTATGTTAGAAAAGATCAAATAGATATAGCTGCAAAATGGTATTCAAATTGAATTACCTCGTTCACTAGGTCGAATATTCCTGAACTAACATCATCAAGAACGGATCGTGCAGAAAGCAACTCGTCACAGGGGAGAATCGAGCTGAGGCTGTTGTTGTAAGGATTCTGTTGAAAGCTCTCGAATGCTGTGCATGTGTCATTTGCAAAGCTGGAGAAAAAATGTTTGAATTTTTTATAGAAATTTGACATAAGTAAACTCTAGAGAAGTTGTGTGTTTACACAAATGTACTTTTGTAGGAAGAGGTATATGCCGAAGAACAGCCAGCAGAGGACAGCAAGTGTCCAGCAAAGCGCGATTAATCTGCATGAGGTATGTAAGTAAATTTCATGAGTAATTCGAGAGTTCGAATGAAAAATGTTTTTGTCCTGATTTGAAACTATAAACAGGTTTTCACTTACACTTGAAGAGTCCTCCAAAATTTCAATATACCAAAAACTGTAAAAACACAAAAATGATTTGGTCAGTATATAGCCAAATATATTACATCAACAAAAGGGTAGCTAAATTCAACATATGAAAAACTGAATAAAATCTTGAAACTCACCTAGAAGAGAAATCACAGAAACTAACGTCAATGAGATAGTCACGGTCGTTATTATATACCTGCAGAAAAAACAGATAACCACTCGTTAATCTGCGCAGTAAGAAGAAAAGAAAGATGAAAAAAAAAAACATACACTATGTTGAGGCCTCGGTTGATTAGGCGCCTGTTCTTCGAAGCATGTCTGGAAATATTTGCAGCCTGATCATCGAGAGCCCGTGAAGTCCTAGTCAGAAAACGGGTGGCCCGGCTGTCACTCGACTCAGTCCCGTTTGCATTTCCTAAAGTGGTGTTCATATCCTTCATAGCTTGTGTCGTGTTGCGTATCGTGTCTGAAGCCTCGTCAGCTGTGTCTATAATAATGTCGATCACTGTCTTAGCTCTCGAGTGGAATTTCGCGTTCCCTCCAAGAACAAGGCCAACGCCCAGTCTGAACAAAACAAAACAAGAGGAAATAAATATTTTTAACCTTCGTCAGCTCGACTTGAACTAAGTGTTATTGCTTACATTGCAAGGACTGTAAAAACAACAGCAACAACAAGTGGCTGCAGGCGACAATTCTTGCGACACGGCACGATTTTCTTCGGTTTTCTGTTTTTCTTGAAAGATATTCGAACGAGAAGGTATACTCCATAACCGAGCCCACACACGAGCCATGCAACTGATATGGCATAACCGGACACACCGGTAAAAACGGTCGACTAGTCGTAGAAAAATGAAAGTTGAAATTAAGTTACGAACGAATACAGCGAAAAACGAGTGTTTCATGAGAATAAGAAAAAAAAAAAAAAAGGATGCTTACGCTCCAGTAATGTTCATTCGTGACATCATAACCTTCTCTGTACTTCCTCAGATTGTCTAAAGGATCGACTCGTACGGTGTTGTCCAAATGTAGGCTACCGTTGCTCATCTGGGCTGAGAATTGTTTTCATTTTTCTATGTTAAGGAAATCGAAACGAAAACTGTTTTTTTCCAGGTTGATAACAGAATGACTCAATCGATCAAAAGACACAATCTTGAGCAAAAGAAAAAATCACTGCAATTTACAGAACTATATATCTACAGACTACAGAAATAAAAAATAAAATAAGATCAGACAGCATAGAAAATTTACCAGAAGCTCGTGAGGCGGTCAAGGCCACGGCCATGCTAATAACAAAGATTAGATGCCTCCCAAAAGACGAGCTGCCGACTGTCGAGTCCATCATCTCTTTCGAACTCATAATCAAATTTTATTATCTGTCCTTAACAGAAAAATTACAGACATGTAAGTCTAATGATTTTTTCAAACACAAACTGCCTCACACACACACACACACACACTGTGTTAAGTGTGGGGGTCTGATTAAGGCTAATCTTGTGATCAATATTGATGCTTTTTTTTTTTATTTTAATTGGATCTTCTTATAGGGCTGTAGCCAACACCCACCCTATATGAATGAAGCTGCTCACAATCAATAAATAGACTTTGAAAAAAGGAAAGAGTTAAAGCTACAAAAGGCTAGAATAGATACATAACTTGGTGTGTTTAAAATTTGTGTGAACAACAGTGTTAAAATTCTTGAGGGAGAGCTTTGCCGTCCTTGTGGTCCTACCCGGCTCGATTCCGGATTAGTCGGTTCCCCTGTGGATCCGGAAACCGGAAGGTCCCTGTACCAAAAAAAAAAATTTGTGTGAACAAATGATGGGAAAAAATAACGAGAAATTAGGCCAAAAGGCAGAGATATGACTTTACCTCCACCCAAAAAAAGCAGCCAACATGGACAAAGATGGAGTCTTTGTTTGAAAAAAAAATGCACAATATGTTGGGATCACAAAAGAATTAACATCAAGTAACATTTTATGCAAAAAAAAATAAAAATAAATAAATTTAGGGTTCTTGATTTTATTTCAATATTTTTTTCATGTCTGGCTTGATGGGTTTTCATAACAGAGGATAAAGTTTGAAACTTTAGCCTCAAAACTTAGACATGCAGAAAAAACAATGTGGAAAAATGGTGAAGAAATGATTAGAAATAAATAAAAATTTAAATAAATTAATTTAGGGGTTTGATTTTATTTCAATCTTTTTTTCATGTATAGCTTTGATGGGTTTTAAGAACAGAGGATAAAGTTTGGAACTTTAACCTCAAAACGTTCACATGCAGACACAACAATGCAGAAAAAAATGGTCAAGAATATATAAACTTACCTGCAAACTACTGGAAAATTAATTGAAAATGATAAAATTCATACAGAATTTGTACCCAAATTTTTTGAGTACCTTGAGGTGATGATGAACTATGTAAAAGGCAAATGGGATTTCTTTCTTGTGCTCCACTTCAAATGAGGAAACTTGTTTTAAAGAAGTGACTTATAAAAAAAAAAGTTTTTTTTTTTTTTAGCTTTTTGAGGAAGATGAAAATTTTGATCTCACTTTTGCACAACTTATTATATAAGAATAAAAAAATTGGTGATTTGAGTGAAATAAGAAATTAAAAGGTGTCTAGAATGATTTGAGTGTTCAAACTAGCGTCTTATTTTGATTCTTGGCATCATCATCGTCATGGGGGAAAAGAGAATTCTGGTCAATCAGTTGCGGCTAGACTTTATGCGGGGATGAGATCATTTGTTATGAAATTGTGAAAAGAGAGAGCTTTGTCGCCCTTGTGGTCCTACCGGGCTCGATTCCGGATTAATCGGTTCCCTTGTGGATTCGAAAACCGGAAAGTCCCTGTACCAAAAAAAAAAGTGAAAAAAAAACATTTCAATTCATAATTTTGGTGTGAAAATAAAGACATGATGATGAAATACTGGAGAGAATCTACAGTCCCGTTATGGAACCATTCCGTCGGGATTTGTAGCCGTTAGATCATCTAACCACGACGATTGCATGATAATCTAACGATTACAAATTCTGACGGAATGATTCCATAACGGGACTGTACCATCAGTTTGTACTTTATTGTTTGTACATACTTTTTGTGGGTTTCTAGTTCACACATGAATTTATGATTTTTTGATTGGGAATGGTGAATGTTAGTTTACCAA